AATTAAAAATTAAGCAGTATTATTAATGAACTTTTAATTCCACTGTGTATTCAAAAGAAGCCACTGTGAACCAAACAGTCTACTTCACTCCACCATCTTGAAATATAACTACTAGCATGCATCTGCCTTCGATGTGAAATAACTTGTGAGTTTGCAATGATATAAACCTTTGCTGACAATCATAGACACAGTACACTCTCGCTTCATGGAAAGGCAAGGTTAAATTTCAAGAAGGCACCATGAAGAAGACTTTAATTTCCTAAGGTTGCTGTTGCAGTTATACATGTAGTGTTGCTACTCATCTAGCAAACATGAAAGTAGATATTGGGAGAAAAATGAAAATAGTGTACAAAAATCACTAGGCATGTATCAATTTAAAAAACAAATCTCACATAAAAATGTTTGCCTTACCAGTGGATTTTTATTATCATTAGACTTTAAGTGCTTTTTATCATCACTGCCTATAAAATAATAATATGTGGATGATAGAGTCTATCGGATAAGACTGACAATGGTGAGTTTAAAGATATTTAATGCCAGAACTATTAAATAACAATTTTCATTGTGTTTTCATCTACAAGGTTTACTCACCAGTATCCAATAATAAAACTTCATCCCTATAAATTTAAATATCAGTTAACTGTGATTGTTCTGATAAAATTAGTTAAAATACAGCGGTTTTTTTTTACGTGAAAGGTTATAAATACCCCCTCCTCCTCCCCCTCCCCCGAAAAAAATGTCAATCTGATATKTACAATCAGATATTTATTGATTGACTGTTTGATAAAAGATTATTAAACAATAATAGTAAATAATAGTAATTGTTACTATTCATCTCGAGAGGGGGAGGGGCTATTATTGTGACTGTAGTGGTTCAACAGGAAATTTTGGCGAGTCGTCTGCTCTAAGCTAAACAGTAAGCTAAAATCACAAATCAATATGCAACAAGTCTGAAAAATAAAAGATGACATCTATTCGATTTTGTCTAGCAAAGATTTCATTGAATTAACTTAAATGATATTATATTATTTTTAAGCTTATACCAAAGCAAAAAAGTTTTAAAGGCTAATAGTTTTTAAGTACAGTTACTCACTCTTGCGAGTCCGACTTAGAAATTTCGTCCTCTTCATCGCTGCTGTARCTTACTAAACTCAATCGACCTTTCCAACCTTCATTTGGGTTCTTTTCAGCTTTATCCAGCTCTGAATAAAAGATTTCAATGAATAACTTTTTAAGCAAACACAATTCCAATTGGAAAAGCGAGACGAGACGATAAAGTATCCMCTTCAAAACGAGTATTTTMCAAMGAAATAACGAGACAACTTACTTGAGAGCATCTTYAGAKAAACYAAAAAGTTTAAGGCATCCAATCACGCATATTTATAAATTCAAATCTACGYACAAGTCGATTTTTAACAACGTTTCRTAAAAATATTCTTCGATGTTCATCTCCGCCATTTTGAAAAGGCGCGAGTTTTAGCCTCGCTTTCAGTGTTTTCACCAGGCCCCCACGTTTTTCGAAAATATGGCGGGAAAGCAAGTATATTACAGATAAGATAGCGATTTTTAACCATTACTTAATTCATGTGATTTAAAGCAATGCACCGATAGATCAGGAAGACTGTTCAACAGAGTCATGCGTGCCTTTTAGTCTTCTCGCAGAGTGTAATGATAGAATCCTTTAATGGCATTSTGGGTCCAATTACAGTATTTGAACACATTTCCCATAAAAGGTTTGTTGAATCTTTCTTCGTATTTTTTCTTCTTCATGTTTTCTTATTGACCTTGTCAATTATGATATTATAGTGCGCTTATCCATGATGAACAAAGAATTTTTATTAAAAAAATTCTTGGTGCAACAATTCTAAGGGTGTAATTGTAGCGGGCCAGGTTTTTGAAAGCTCAAATTGGGCTAATTATTGTGAGTCGTTAATCCTGGGTTAACTCCATAGGTTTTCTATCTTTTCTCCATAGTTAATCCAATGCTAATTGAGGTTTGAACAACCCAGTTTATTTATCAGCATTGCACACGCTCCACACATATGCTTTTCCACCATCATGAGAGAAAAATGAAAATGTTAATTGTGCATGTATTTTTATTTCATAGACATATTCAGTTCCAATATTTACACTATACATAAATAAGTCATATCTTTATAAGATTATACATTTGATAACAATTAAAAATATCTGGCTACCTATTGAATATGTTATTATAAAAAAGATTCTATCTAAAAATTGTGYTAAAATGATTGAGGATTTATGTGATAATGTCTTGGTCTTCACTATTTGGTCTTGTTCTTGTCCAGGATTTGGTTCGAATTGGTTTAAGATGTCTTGGTTCCTAAAAAAATGTAAGTACTGGCAATTAATATACTTGTTGTCCATAGTTTAAGCAYGAGGGTGACAGTGTTTTATCAGATATAAAGATTCACCATAAACAAAAGCTCGTAAGGGATGCCGGTTGATCATGGGCACTTTAAAGTTCTGAGAGAGATTCATTTTCTCTTTTCTTCTTTAAAACTAAAATTTATTTTATACATTATCATAGCTATCACTTTTGTTGTTGCCCTTTTTATCAGCAAGTTCATACTGCTACTGAAAGGATTTCATGATACAAAATGATTACCAATATTACCTCAATATCTTCGTCAGCAGATGAGTTAATAGTTCTTGATTCTACACGAAAGAAAAATACACAGACATTACATTTAAATAAATCATTTTAATGATTAAAAGGCTTATAATAATAATGACAAAAAAGATGAAGCTGAAGAAAAAGCAAAAGAAGAGGAAAAMGAAGAAGACAAGGTGGTGGAGGAAGAAGTAGAAAATGAAGGAAAAGAGGAAGAAGAGGACAAATTAAGAAGATGGAGAAGAAAATGGAACATGACGATGATGAAGAGAAGGTAAAACAAAAATACTAACAAAATTGACAAAATTAACAACTGACAAACTAAATGAAAAGCAGTGGAAGGGACATGTGATCTGGATAAGAAATACTAAGTTAATAGAACATAGAACAAAGTATGAAACCAAACCAATCATCCTTACCTGTTATAATAGGATGCGAGAGTGGCTCAAGTCTTCTAGGAGAAACACGACTTTTAGTTTTGCCACCAGAAAACCCATTCATGCTACTAGAACCATGGTGAGAGTCTTCCCAGGCTGAAATATTTCTTTTTGTTTGGAGCTCCATTTCATCATTGATAGGAGCAGTCTTGTTGGTCTTTCTTTTTTTCTTTTTCTTCTTTTTCTTATCTGTTTCGGCAGGTTCGAGGTCGATGGGTGCTAAACGGCCTCTTGCAGGGGTTCTATTCTCTTCTATACTTGGCTCAGTGGTGTCTTGATGTGTTTCCTGGAAAGCAAATGAGGAATTAATGAAGAACATAATATTTTTCTGAAGTTTTAAATACCTTACTCTAGTTATTACACACAAAAATATTTCACATTTTAGTACAAATTTYAGGAATAAAGTAGCACAAAATACTCACATTTTGTACATATTCTTCAGAAGAATTTTCTTCTTTTACTTGTATTTTCTTTTTGCTTCTTTTCTTTGGTTTTGGTGGTGTGGTTTCTTTTTTCTTTGGATTCTGAAAAAAATAAAATAAATTAAATTTTATTGTTTGAAGTTTATGTACAGTTTTAATATGATCTATTGGCTGGTTTTCTGTTAATGCTGTACCTTCCCAACAACTACATCGTCATCAGAGTCCTCCTGTTTTGCAGCCCTTTCTGCTGCTTCTTGTTCTTCCTTTTCTCTGAATTAAAAATAAATATGTCTATCAATCACAAAACATAGGCTCTATTACAAAGAGATGATGAATGAATACAATTTATTTACAAATGAATGGACAGAGGAAGATGTGGATGCATGGGAAAATGAAGTAATGGATGAAAGGATGCATGAAAGAAATGGTAAGTTGATAATACTTTCAAGGATTTATATGTCAGAGTAACTGAATAAATGAAAAGTTAATGAATTAATGAAAGGATGGAAAGAGTGGAAATGAGAGACAATTAATGAATAATTATGTAGATTTCCAAAGAGCTTTTCATTACTAGTAGTGCCCTTCAAAACATGCTTTCAGTTTCAAGGGCTTTTGAAGGATTTCAAAGAGTATCATAATAAAGCCTGATATTTAAAGGCAAAAATATGACAATATTGTACACACCTTGCTTCCTTTTCCCTTCTTATTCTTTCAAGCTTTTTTTTCCTTTCTTCTGCTGCTATTCTTTTCTTTAGATTGGAACAAAATACACTAAGTTAGTTGTTTGTTTGACCATCAAGTCTAATAAATCAAATGACTAAAAGAYAAAGAGAATAGAAGATGCACCTGCTCTGTATAATCCCTTTCTACTCTTTGTGAGAGAGTTGAATAATTTTGAGATATTTCCTGTAGTAACCACTGGAAACCTACAAATAATCAAAGAGGAATATTAAAAGTGAAAAAATAAATACAAAATAGATAAATAAATAAACCAATTAGCAGATAAACAATGCTTTGCACCACATACATGATAATAAATTCAAATTTTTTTAACAAACTTTACCTTTTTTTATTTGACGATCAATTTTGTTGCCTTGCCCAAGAATAGCAGTACAAGAATACTGAGGGGAAAGAGAAGTAAAAAATGCACTTTTAATACAATGAAAGACAAGCATAAATAAGTGAATCAATTTCATGGACAGAGTTCATACTAAATTCAAAGGTAATGATAGTTCTTACATTKCAGTTTTATGATAAAATATTGTACATCTAAATAAATAATTATAAGAAAATGATGCACTGATGGAACAGGAAACAAGATTTAATAATAAACATGCATAGAAAAATGCCCCTTACCACTTGACATTGACACTTATTTCTTTTTGAAAATCCATCAATATCGAGTTGTTCATACACTTCTTCTTCTTTCATTGCTCCTTTTATATCTTGTTTATTAGCCAAGCTGTATGAGACATAGAACATTACATATTGTACAACTATTTTAAAACACATATGCCCAGCCAACTTTACTTCAACTGATTACAACTGATGACACAGGTGGTCATTCAATATATAATTTCGGAAAGTTCAAGTTCAAGGTACTGTTATGTAGGTGGTAACCATGGATGATGCCAGAGGCCACCTCKTAATATACTACTTTAGATAGCTTGATTAATCCCCAGGGCACATGCTATCTATAGTACTGTACATTTTCAACACAAATTCACAAGCTTTTAAAGTACCTTTTGAGCACAAAAAAACTACAGATGTACCAAAGTTTTTTACTTTTTTCAACATTAAAATGCAAAATAGAAATCATACTACTTGATATAATTTACCTAATTGTGCTTAAAATACTTACATTAAGATTGGTTTTCCATATATTTTAGCRCTATTCATTGATTCATGTAAAACGTCTCGAGTCTCATGAAGYCTTTGTCTGTCACTTGCATCGACAACAAATACTATGCCATAAGCCTGAAATTCAAAGTTACAGGTAAAATAAAATTGATATAGTAACAACAACTTCTTGATAAAGGAGTGTTGCTCATTTAAGACAGTAATATTTATTTGTCTCACATACAATGTAGAGTGCTCGTACTAAATGCATGAAATATAAATACTACAAAATAGGTGATAAATTATACAAATTCCTTTGTTTCCTTTTGTATAATCCACACTATTTAGTAGTAATTAGTACTATTTGTTTCACGGATGAAGTACGTTCACTCTAATAGACTCCCAAATATTATAGATAAATAATATTCAATATTACATATAAAAAAATCATTCTCTAAAGAAATCACTGAAGATCGAACAGTGCACACTGTGAACTAGTGTCTAGTGAAGATCCCATCGGGTGTCTGTTCTAGCGAGCAATGTAATTTTAAATTTTTCCTTTCAATACCTCACTAAAATAGTTGTTCCATATGGGTCGTATTCTTGACCCCCCACCGATGTCATATATAGTCACGTTATATCTATACAAGGCGACTGACGATGTCAAGAATCCAACAGTCGGTGTAATGCCATCAAGAGTATCTGGAAATTGGGAGAAAAATACACTTTAAATGTAAAGTTATTTTTATTGTATTATAATAAAATTGTATTTATCAAAGCATGTATTGTTTGACGAAGTCTCTGCATGGTTAATTTCCCAAACAACTCCAGTAATATGATRCAAAATATCACAAAGGAGTTATCTCTCTGGATACTTAGTGAAATTTTCTTATCTTTCGCTGTCTGCAAGTCTGCATGTAATAACATACGCGACGGAAGTGTCTGTGATTTGCAAATTGATCAAGACAGAATGTTTTGAAACATTCATGTTGAGAATTGATCAGAGGATAATGTTTAAACAGCTGATGATTAAATTTGTGAAATGTCAGTATAAACAAAACATATTTTGATTAATGAACTATAAGCTTACTTAAAGTTAAATGGAGTTACATTTTACGTGGATAGAATTTATTTAAAATATAGAATAATGTATAAAACGTCCTTGCATGTTTTAGTAAAGATAAATGACACCTTTAACAAAGAGTTTTAACGATAGATCCGCCATAGATCTCGCGTATACTGTTTGTATAAGGCATATTGTTCAATCTTTCACAATTTCCTACTACAATAATTTCAATAATAGAGATTACCTCCTTTCAGATCGGCTACAGTTGACGTTTTCCCAGCATTATCCAATCCAACCATCAGTAAGGTCACCTTTCTACAAAATAAATGACAAACCCACTTGTCACTAAAAAAACATTTTATTGATCAATACACTTTTGATAAAAAGCCGCATTTTTCGTGAACCAAACTTACTTGATAGGTTCTCTACGTCGCTTTATCCAAGTAAAACAATTCACCATTATACTAAACATGCTATCTGCTTTAGTTCCCAAGCGGTATAAACCAAAAGTACTGTCAAATTAATCTGTAATCTGTTGTTTTTGAGGGAACTATATTTTCAAACCTTCTCAGCGGCCATCTTTATTCTTCTGAAGTATGTCACGTGACGAACAATATTTAGATGTTTGTAACTATAGTGACGTCGTGCGTGAGGAACTGGGACGACTTCTGCATTTTAGAGTAGGGGGTAAAATCGACGGGGTATTTCATGACAAAGCGAAAATTATTCGTTGTGTGTTCTGAGTGTTCGAGTGAATTCGGCTATTAATTCTCTWGCAAGATGAGTTCAGAGAAGCCAGTAATCGTTGTTAACATTACTTCTGATAATGTATGACCCTGGTAAGTATTTGCGTTGCAAATTTGTGCACCTTAAACTTGTTTCAACGTCGAAGAGGGCACTCCATCCGGGGCACGCCATGAGGCTATTTTGAATGAAATGCTAAAGAAGTTCGGTCAAAACCCGATTTTTATTGTRCTAAGCTTAGTTATATTGCATTCTCTTAACAAATTTTATGTTTKCAAAAAGGTGTTTTGTTGGCAAGCGCCACTTGGAAGAAGCAGTGAAGACAGTCAAGGATGCGGTCTTTGAAGTCAACTGGAAACCCTTCTTCCTAAATCCAACTCTTCCTGACGGGACAAAAATTCCTTTGGTTCAGTACATCACCGAGAAGTATGGAGCTGCTGCTGGGGAAAGCATCAAGTCAGGGAAAGGGGGTCTATCGAAAGCTGGACAAGCTGTTGTTAGTATCATTATTATTAATATATTCATGAAAACAACATCGCGTGACAAAAACCCTTACTATGCAAGATCCTATGCAAATGCTCAATAATAAGTCCCCCATAGATTGCAGTTGACTTGCTATTGGCTATTGCACATGAAAGCATCCCTTTCTTCTCTACACACTAACATTGTCACAGCAATGCCACAGCAATCAGTATGTCTAAAACACTAGCCTTGGGCTTCCTGTACTTTTCAAATCACAGAAGGAGACTGTGACCCACCAGTCTCATGTATTATATCTTTTTTTCATAGGGTATCACTTTTACCTCTGGGCGCTATGTTGTCAACTCTCTGAAGTCCCATTGTCTCCTGGACTATGCAGCTACAGTAGACAAGCAGAATGAAGTTGCCGAAAGTCTATTCCACAGATATTTTGAGAACGCAGAAGACATAAACAGCATGGCAACGTTGGAGGATGTTGCTAAGGACTCTGGACTTAATCTGGAGTCAGCCATGAAGCATGTTGGTGATCCTGCCATTGCAAACAAGATCAAGGAAGAAGCAGAGGGTGCYCGCATTCAAGGAGTCAGTGGAGTGCCATCTTTTGAAGTATATTTGAAAGGAGAAAATGTGGGAACCTATCCGAGTTTTTCTGGGGCTCAGCCACCAGCCACGTTTGTTAGCATCTTCCAAAGACTATTGAAAAATGCAAAGATGTAAAACATCTATTTCTTACTCATGAATGTATCATTATTATTTCTTATATGATATAATCAAGATGTTGATATAATCATTCTCCAGTTTGCTAGGGTTTGTTGTACAAACATACTCATGTACCACAGGAAGCCCAATCTCTAAGATTGAGAGAATAAATAAGGCTTTGTTTGGAGAATTTTTCTTTGCTCTAGAACATCAAAGCCTTATAAATTCTCTCACTCTTAGATATTCCTTCCTATGTAATCACAAGTATTAGCACAATATATTTATCAATCTTTAGGTGGGACATACACACTTGAAAAAATCTGTTATATATTATTGTATGAGATCTTTGTATGTTTTTATCATTGTATGATAGCTCTAATATGGAAACACTAATTAGTGGTATTGGGGTTTGATGTTTCTTGATAGCATACAGCATAGATTCTTGTATATTAAATACAACTGATTTTGCAAATGTATTTCAACAATAAACGATTATTACCTATTGAAAATGGCTGCTATTATTATTGTTTTAAATTTTACTATTTATCATATGGGAATGGGATTTGTTATCCTTTGAGATTTTTTTTCCTTTCTCATTTTGGGGGAAGGAACAAGGCTTCTATATAAGTTGTGCATAGGGCCTTTAAATCCAAGAACCTCTCTATATTTTCCTGAGGGACAAAATCACATTTATCTGGCCCACAATCCACCTCCCCTCCCCTCCCCTCCCTTTCATCCTGTGTCACCCTTAGCATTGTTCCTCAACATCAATGAGATTTTCTGATAAAGCTGAACAGTCTCCGTGAATTCGACACCTTTGCTGTGCTGTCAAAATTATCGACTCGCGTGATCAGAACGAATTATTCATTTCTAAGAAAATACCCTGGGCCTGATTATCACGGGACTTTTCCCGCCGTCACGCAAAGTGTTTTCCTTTTCCTTTTGGTGTTAAAACATGACATTGCACTATGATTGGTCAACTTCAAAATAGAAAGAGAATGGTCCAATGAACGTCACGCATGGGGAGCATGCGGTCAACGAGTCAAAACATAGCCCAACAAACTCTTGACAAARAAAGCAAAGGAAATATATCTATTTTAAAGTGCTAAATCGGCATATCAATTTGTTTAGAATGCATTATCTGTGTTCAGAAAAGTGCTTTTGTTTATTATGGCTGGTTTGATGCTTTTTGTTTGCCATTTTTCTGTATTTTGACCTGGTATTTTTGGAGAGAAATTTCTTGATTGATATTGCGATGAATCGACGACTTCGTGGCCTCTTTGCAAGATAGTAAAGGTACTTAGCCTCTGGAAAAGAGAAAATTTCATTTTCGAGATGATCTTCGAGCAGCTTGCAGTGTCAGTTTTGAACAGAGTTCTTGGAAAATATATCAAAGATTTAGATGGCACCAACCTAGAACTTGCCATTTTGAGCGGTAAGTGTAGATCTGTCCAGTCTATAGCTGTCAAAGTCCGTGTGATTATACAATCTAACATAAACACAAGCTAAAATAAATTTGGTTACTCTTGAATCGAATATGAATTTATGTAACCTGTTTTTATTGAATTATTGAGCTTTAACAGTCAAATTATGTAGCTAAATGTACAAAATATCAAAGCTCAATTCTCTGAAAGTCCCATAGCCATTGTTATAAATATTCCCTCTACTAAATCTACAAATGATAATTTATGGCCCCTTGTGTGCTTAGCTGAAAATCTAAGTAAACAAATAATTTATATCCCAGCAGATGATAACATRATGTTTCCTTTTTGCAATGAGTGCTTTGTAAAATGAAGGTGGTTAAAAAACTAATATTATTGAAGATAAAAGTAATTYCTGCTAAGATGTAAAGCTGTAATGCACTACTATATAGAACTTGCACTTAGGGAAATAACACAAAGATAGCTATTRTATACAATTGTGACATGTAGTGATGGACATGATCTGAGGGCCTGACTCAGAGTTGTCTCTATTGAGTGCTGAAATTTGGTCACATTTTTGTCATGTATAAAGTGTGAATTCTGAGCAATTAACATCCTGAAAGTATTGTTTTGTTTCTTTATATACAATGTCTTCCCCTATTGCTGGACCCCCTTCCCAAACCCCACCCCTAGATACWACAGATTTTACCATAGAAGATTTTCTTTTCTGCAGGTCAAGCAGTTCTTAAAAACCTTGAGCTCAGAGAAGATGCCTTGGTAAGTTGTCATTCTAATGTGAGAATAATTGTGGACAGATTGTTACACTTAGTCTATCCCTTTTAAGAGTGTTGCAAAATACCTCACCTACATGGCCCACCCCCTTGTGACGCTCAACTGGTCACCAGTCACTACTCTGTTTTTTCCCTTCTCTTTTCCAAGCATGTGTGAAGCCATTAGGTACAATTCTAAATGTATAAATTTGCCAATAATGCTATATCTCTCAAATCAATCCTTCAACTTTAGAATGAATTCGAYCTACCTGTGGAGGTTACCCAAGGCTATGTTGGTAAGTTGATATTGCGACTGAATGGTCCTTGCATATTTCTTTGATCATTATAGTAATTTATTTGTTACTGGTTACAACAATAAGTGTGTCCTAATGATATTATTTTCTACTGCAAACAGGTGAAATCTCCCTTGATATTCCATGGACTAATTTATATTCTGCTCCATGCTATATCTGTGTTGAAGATGTTTTCTTGATTGCTGTTCCTGTTAAAGGTATGATTAACAAAGCCCCATGGGAGGACTCCCATGGGGTCCTCGTCAGCTGTCTTAGGGTTAGAAAATCTCAGTGTTTGGTCACGCATGGGGTGATAACGATAAGCATTCCCATCAACTGATTTTAAATACTGGTTCCTTTTAGCATGGCCCTAAGCTGCAAGTACAAATTAAGTACTTGAGAACCCTAACCCTAACCAAAATCAAAGGTTATTGATTGATCTACCTTATGGATGAAAATCAATCACTTCCATGTCCTACATCTTACAATGCAGACTTCTTTTTGTTTTGTACACTTTTATTGCATCCCAGGTTATTTACACTCTGTAATTTTCAGATAAGCTATATGATGCTGAAAAATCGAGGACAAGTGAGGTCAATGCAAAGAGAAAAAGGCTTCGACAGATTGAAGAAAATGCCAAGAAAGCTATCATTAATAAAGGTCCATTGTGTAATGTTGTATTTGTGCACAATCTGACTAAAAATATTGTATAAATTAAATTAATTAATAAAAATATTAATAAATCAAATAGAGATTTAATTTTCACATGGATTGCCTGTTTACATATTATAATCTTAGAGATAAATTGGAATTATAGAACATTTATTTTTTTAATAGAATGCCCATACAACTGTAGAATAATGTTTTTCATTTTTATCATTGTGTCTACAGTTGAAACCAACATTGAGGAAAATAGTGATTCGTTTGTCGAGAAGCTTGTAGCACAAGTTGTGAAAAATCTAAAGGTACAGTAAGTTGTAGTTTTCAATATAGCACATGGAACCGTAGTCTCCTTACCAGCTACCATTTTGTCAGGCTTCGACAGGAATTCTGACAAAAGGGGAGGCTGCAAAGGAGACTAATGAAACTGTGACAGCGTACATGTTGATATTTTATGTAGCATGTAGTAAAGAGATTTCTTTGATTGCTMTTCCTGTGTAGGTTTCTGTCAGAAACATCCATTTCAGATATGAAGATAAGGTATTGGATTTTTTGCTCTCATGTTAACAGTGATTTGAAATTATTTATCTTGGACTTTTTTAATAATTTAATAATGACATATTATGCATTCTCTGTAAGCACTGCACCAACTCTGTGCTTAGCCTCTTCTGCAGTCTAACTAGTTTAATGGAGATTTTGGACTTGTGATGTAATTATAATATTGCCTGCAGAATCTGCCCTACGTTTTAGACCTTTTTACACAGGAACCCCAATGTCTAGTTTGGATCCATTAAATAAAGGCTGTCATTTTTCACTTTCAGATTACCTGCCCTGAGTATCCATTTGCCTTTGGTTTTACATTGCAAAATTTGTCTGCTGAGGTAAATAATAAACCATTAGGGACGTACATATAACAATCAGTTACATCCCTAAAAAGAGAAAACCTAACCAAACAGAAAAAACGGATCTTTTTAGAATTTTTCATTAATCAATTATAATTGTTTCTCAGTGAATTAACTTTATGCGCATACTGATGCCGATGAATAATAATCAGCATGAAATAGTGAATGTTGTTCTCACTTTTGCATATTACGAATCACAGACAACTAATGATCAATGGGAGCCCATTGTTGTAGGCGCAGACACTACAACTATCTACAAGGTAAAGAGAGATGCAGATTAAGAAACTGTTGTCAGATTGAAGAACTGAGTGTAACGTTGATGRTAATGGTTGATAATCTCTTACTTCTAGCTGGCAAATCTGGACAATCTGTCTGTTTACTGGAATACCAAGCTTTCYGAGTCCAAAATGTACAGTGGAAGATGGAACTGGAAGGTAAATAACAGTACATCAAATATCAATCAAACAGKTGTCTCTTTATCTCTTTTCATGTTCTACAAAAGTCTTTTTACTTCACACTTTCTTTTACAACTTGAATTTATACTAATCTCTATCTTTTTTGKTGTTGGACAGAATTTCATGGAAGATGGCATATCTACTAAGGATAAGATTCCTAGAAATTATGAATTCAGTGAGTTTTATTGCACAAACAGTAAAAGTGTGGCCATTTAGTGGCTGCATACCGGCATGGGTGAAGGGAGAGAAGGAGGAAGAAAAAGACATTGTTTGATGAATGGGAAGGGAAAGAAGAGGGATGGCAAATAGTCTGAAGATAGGACTGCTTGGTACACGTATATTTAACTAATAATATGTAAAATGAATGACTTCATATATTCATATTTGTATTGATTTAGTTTTACGACCTTTGTCTGGTGAATGCCATGTTATTTTGGATCAATCATCAGAAATTGAAATGGACATACCTAAGGTATTCATTAACATTTTAAATCYGGCCCATACTTTCTTTGTTTTTACACATCATTCATCATGTTTATCATTTTTAATGCCCAGGACGACATTTGTCCAAATTTGTTTATATTTATWTAAGTTTGTATTGGTGCYCTKTGTGTAACRTTTATGATTGTTCCAGCTGTTGGCTGAGGCTATTATTCAACAAGAACTAGCTCTGGCACTGTCCCAAAAGCAGGTTAGATATTCTCATCAAAAATGTTTTGTTTTCTAATGTCTAGTGTGTACACTATTTTTATGTGTGTTTACTTAAATCATTCTTATCCGCTTCTTTCTAGTTTCATAACTTCATGGATTTGCTTGATTCTTTTCAACTGATGACCATYAATCAAAAGTACAAGAAGTTTCAACCTACTGTGGATGTCCATGGAAACAGCAGAGTCTGGTAGGTCTTGTATGTATACTACAACTAGAAACATAATATGTAAAAACTAAGATAAACACTGTAAAAATAGGTGAAGCAACTTAAACAGCAACAGTAAGTTATTTCACCTATTTTTTACGGTGTTAAATTTTATCTTTTTACTTATGACTGTTTCTTCGCAAATACTGAGAGGCAGCTCACACTAATTTGACGCTAGTTTCCACCATTACAACTAGCAACTGCTTGTTTGTCTCCAGTATTAGTTGTGCTGAAAAACAGTTTTAATAGTTGTCAACAGTTTTGCTCATTGCAAATCCAGCTATACATGTATTTTTAATAGCTCCAACCATTCACCTCAACACCTTCTGTTTAAACTGTCTTGCTCCTTAGGTGGAGATATGCCTACACTGCTATCTGTGAGGAAAAGATAAGGAGTTGGTCATGGAGTAGGATTAAAGAGCACAGGTACAGTACCTTTGTTAGAAATCCACCAAGACCTGGTCCATAAAGCAAGAAATAAGACGTTTTCTTAAGAGGTTGTTTTTGATTGTAGAACCAGATATCGAGCTTACAAAGACTTGTACAAGAAGAAACTTGAGGGATTCTACGAAAGTGTGAAAGAAAGATCACTGAGGCATCTACAGGTGAGTAAATTGTAAATTATCATCGAGTGACCATAGGATATTAAAGTTATTTTTGAAGTATTGCAAACTTAATTTTTGAAACCTGTTGTTTTCCTCTATTCCACATTGTTAGTATTCTTCTAGACATCTATGCATTTAATCTTTCATAATATAGAACAGTGTTTAACATGCTATTGATTGTTTTGTTTATCAAATRCAGGTTCTTGAAGATGATCTTGATATTCCTAGTATTCTCATTGCTCGGCAGCAAGCTGAGATAGAGGTAGRCTATTAAAAATCTATTTTTTCCAGAGAATTCAAACAAATTTTTCAAGGGCATAGAGGTAGAGGTAGACTCTTAAAAAATCTTTTTTTTTCAGTGAATTAAAACATATTAAATTTTTAAAATTGTTAGGTTCCTCCTGAGAAGAGACAACAGAAAGAAAAAGAGGACTCRTCCCAAGGAGGATGGTGGTCATGGATGGGTTTGGGATCATCATCTCCTACAGAACCACTTGACGTCAACAATGGTAAAAATACCATAAAAAATTGATTTAATATTAGATTTGCACTTGATTGATTAATTTATTGATTGAATAATTTTATAGTTGATTAGTGATTTGATTGATGCATTGGTAAACTAATTGATCAATATTGTTTAAACTCTTGATCTGTAGATGAAAATATCATGTCCAAACTTACAGTAGCTGCTCTTCCTGCTGATGAAAAGGACAAGCTATACAAAGCCATCAACTACAGTGAAAATACAGCTCCTATTAAATACCCAGTAGAAGTGAGGACCACATTTTTAATATTTGGATAATATGTACATATTCAAGATATTACATCATATAAAATATGTTGAAGTTAATCAGCCTCAATCAAGTTTACTAATCAGACAGAAGTCTTCAAAAACAAAATGTTTTACAGTGCTGATAAAGATTGAATATATCACGTTAAACTTCAGTGATATTGTTTTGATTCCAAAATTTCAATATAGACTTCTTGCAGTTTGTGGGAATGCAACTACAACTGGAGGACAAAACAATGGATTCTAGTTCCAGGGCAAATATCTTTGTTTTGTCCTTCAGATTCAGAAGCTGCTTTGATGTCACTTGCAAAGGGTTTATCTAGAGCAAAATGACAAAATGGCAAAACATGCTTCTTACTCATTGATTGACTCTGATATATTCATTGCTTCTAGTATGTCAAGAGAAGGCTTACATTTGATCTTGATTCTTGTGTGGTAACACTCTTAGATAATGAAAAGAGGTAGGGAAAGTTTGCTTCATTTCTTTCTCTTTGATCGATGATATATTTTCCTTTTATCTCATATTCAATGTAATAACATTGCAAAATTTGTATTTTAATTTTTCTTCCTAAAAGAAAAATAGCTGAAATCTCAACTGTTGGGTTTGCTGCAGCTCTTGAGCAAAGACCTGGTGGTGATGCTATGATGTAAGTATTTTTTATTTATAATTATTGTCATTGTTAACTAATAAACTGTTATTGTTCCTTGTCATCAATCTCTCACACTCTAGTCTTCCCTTCAAATTTTATTCAAACTTTGCTTATCATTTCTTCACTTTTGCTGTTTTCTTCGGCCACTTTCATCTCATTTTCCAATGTTTTGTTACATTTTATTTTAATTAATAGACTTTTCTTTTTGGCATCAAGTCTTATTATAACTGTTTGTGCTCATATTTTTCCAGGTTCAGATTTGGCGTGAACCTTTTTCAAGTTAATGGCACTCCTAGCAAAGAAGAAAGCGAAAGACCATGTTTGGTGTCAACCCAAAACCCAGCAGAATGTAATCATGAAACTTTCTTTTGTGGGCTAAACTTATTTTCCTTTTTTTCTGCTCTTTATTAACAATATAATTAGTGCAATAACTTTGTTATATGGTGGATTCAGTTGTTTTAGATACTGTACTGATAAGCCATACTTAGAGCATTTTATTGATTGTCTTGCTAGACTCTGGAAGCCCACTACTGTCATTTTCTGCTGAGATCAACCCACTGGATGTCAAGGCAGATTACTCAGTGAAGCTGAAGATTGAACCAGTTGAATTCAATTATGATAATGTAGGTATTGCTGTTAGGGTGAGATGAAAAAATTGGTACATGAATTCAAATATAAGGAAATGAAAGCATTTCAAGAATCCTGAGTTAAGAAGAAAAGCCTTATGGAACACAACATGCTTAGAAAAAAGGATTTAAATAGTGTAAGTGGACAATGTAATAAACAGAGCCATTATTTCTTGCAGATAACTGTGGATGAAGTGATTGACTTCTTTGATGTCCCCAACAAGTCCAAATTGCATGAGTATGTAGTAATCTAATCACAATCTCAACTGAACAAACACATTTTATTTACTTGCATAAATTATTCACAGCATCATTTTTCCAGACATCACTTGAGTTTGC